TCTTCCAGAAGAAAGTGTAGCCTGGAGTTAGCTGAGCCAAAGAGGGACATACTAGGTGAAAAATGAAGTTCCTTCGCACTAAGTCAGGAAGCCTGCAGTAAACGTTGATTGCTCTACAACCTGTCTTGTCCAATAGATACTGCATGATGGTGGGGGGAGGGGAGCTTCTTTCTTTTCTGCCAGGGTTATCGTTCTGCCTTTTCCTTTGGGAGGAAGGGGAAAGAAGAGTTTTTAAACATCCTTATGGAAGGCTTAAATGAAAGGGGATTCCAGTTTAAGATGGCAAAGAAATCATATTGGATCTGAAGAAGGAAAAAGAAGTAGTAAAAATTAGAATTGGTTTGGAAGAACTGAATTAATCCTGATTATTTTAGTCTCCAGGAAGTGTAGCTTTCATATCTGGACTTTTAAGTTTTCTGTTTTGAGCACTTGCTTGAACAAATCTGGTGGGCACTTGAAGCTATAGAGGAACTTAGGCTGACCGAGACTACACTTCACTTGATGCGTTGGAAGGTGCTCACAGTGGAGCAGGACTGTCATCACGTTGTGTACCTGAAACTGGCTAAAGGAGTATCTGAGATAGTTGTTAGAAGTTAATAGATAGACATTTTCTTGATTTACTTAACAGTGCATGGCGGGTGAACCTTTCTTCTTGAGGAAGGTCACTCTTCAGGTAAATTAAAAATAATAATTCTATGCCTTCATTTGGCAAAGTGTTCAAATGTGTCTCTGCATGGCATAAGCTCATAATAGACTTTTTAGAAGTGTGTTACAACTTGCCAAGTGATTAAAATGCCATATTTTTTGCCCTTTTCTCTATATTGATTGATCAGAATTTTAGGTGGGTTGCAAGTTATTTGACATCTGTTGTTTGCAAGCAGCAATGTCCAGAAGCTTTTTTGGAGGAAAACAAATAAAGAAAAGGATAATATCTTGTCTTGGCGGTCAGCTGGAAGTTGCTAATAGTGTAAGAGACTGTTATTTCCCCCAGCAGCAGGCAGCTATTGTGTGTGCAGGAGGTAACCAAAAGTATCCTGTAGGGATCTTACAAAAATGGTATACTGAATCTATTCAGCAGCTGTGTTTTGAAGCAGAAAGCTGGGTCAGAACTTACTAAATTTTTCTGTGGAGAGGAAAAAAGACGCGACTTATATGATCTGAAGACAAATTACTGTATATTTTATCTCAGATGTTAGCTGGCTTTTATTATCTAACTACATGGTTAAATCAGCCTTGAAAATTTGTTCAGTTTTCCTCCACAGCTGTTACTGTCACATAATCCAATTCAGAGGGGCCATTATACCATTTGTGATCACTGATCATAAGAATGTGGTGGGTACCTTTTTTCACTGCTAGCGTTTCTGCTTCTGTTTATTTTGGTTGTTACTGGTAAAATGGCTGTTAATCAGGATTATAGTGCCGCCCACTTGTTGTGTATGGAATTTTGACTGCTCATACTTACATTTTTTTTAATAGCTTAGACTTGGCCGATGTCATAAACTAGCTTAGAAGAAACTGATGCAACAAAACTCTTTTCTTACTGTGTACAATGGAAGCAATAGAAATACATTAAGGGAGGACAGACTCTGGATAAGTAAGTAACAATATTCAGGTGCACTTTATTTCTCCCTGTCCCTTTCACCAGTTACTGCAGAGGTAATGTTTTCTGTTGTGGTTGTTTCTATATTTATTCTATTAGGGATATCCGTCCTACCATCTCAATCATCTTAGCTCAGCTAAAAGATGCATCTAGCCACTTGCTAAATGGACCATGTGAACTTCCTGAACATGTCTTATTGCAGATACATAGATTTTTCCTTTTTCCTTTTTTCCCCCCCCCTCTACCAAATTCAGTGAATCACTTTGTAAGAATTCAAAAGTACCATGTAGTTGTTTGAGGTTTTTGTGCCCTGGTTTACCTTGTCTACTGCTCAGGTCTCTGTTTATATAGTGTTAGATATCTACCTGATCCTGGCCAGTATCTGAATGCTTTGCTCTGAATTTATCTGACTTCTTTTGAGATAGAAATTAAGTTTTTAATGGTATTCCAGACAGGAATAACTTTTTTCAGCAACAGAATTAGAGCACAGGACAATCTCCTTCAGGCCTATGTTTCTATCATTCCAAGCAGCATCAGAGCTTTCTCATTTTGTGAAAGAGACCACATAGCTTAAAATTAGCTAGGAGTTCCACTGATTCTTGAATGCTCTTCAAGACTGTCATCCCTCTCACAGGTTATGTTCTTACTCTTATGTCCTCCTCAAAGTACTGTTGGCCAGTTTATATCCGTTTGTTCTTGTGCTATTGTCCTTTCTCTTAAATAGCTCTTTTTTTGCTCTGGTTTTGAGCTGCCTAACATTTAATCAGAAGGAATCGGATTCCCTCTCAGCTTTTGACTTGTTCAGCTGAAGCAAAGTTCTTCTCATCAAAGTTCTGCTCTCTAAAATAGGCTTTCCATTCTTCATATATCACCATATATATCGTATAATTCATATTTTTTCAACATGAATGTCAAGAACTGTATACAGCATGACCTGTTACAGCAGGAGTAAAACTGCCCTATCACTACTGGAATGTTGATTGAAATATCTGAGGATCCCACTTTTTTTATTGCCATGCTAGTGCTCATAATCATCTTGTGATAGCTAATACAGGCAGGTTTGTCTTTGTCACCTCAACTGATGAGAGCCTGGTTTCTTCTTGTTGTTCTTATCATTCATCCCTAATGTACTTTGTACTGATATCCTGCTGATACCAGCAATGCCTCAGTCGCATAAAATTGGTTGCTTCTCAGCTGCTTTGGCACCTTGTACAGCTCAGTCTGTGACCTTTTGTTACCTTCTGCTCCAATGCAAGAAGTTTTTGACCGCCAGTCAGAGGACAGAGTGCTCCACTAGAAAAGTGGAGACTGGTCCTGCCGCTCACTCAGTCACGGTGACTTTGGGCAAGTCCATCCTCTTGTCTTTAGTCTTCAGTCATGTTTAGGCTGCAAGTTCTTCAAGGTAAGGCATTTTTTCTGACATTGCTGTGCTAATCACTACCCACTCAATCTTATTTAGGACTCTAGGTACTCACTGTGAAATAGTACATGAATTATACCATGTAGGAAGAGATCAGAAAGTCGTACGCCTCCAGTCTACATTGCTTCTCCCCATAATGTCCAGGAAGCTCAATGTGACGTACTTCCTGAAAGGAGGATCTGCCTGCCTGAAAGGATTTCCTCTCTCTGTTTCCTTCTCTTGTATAAAATGCTGAACTCCTGACAAGAGCCAGCCATCAGCTCATCTACTGTTATGATATTAAAATTGTCATCTTCGTGGGAGGGAGAGGCAGACCTGGCCAGACTGGTTTTGTTCCCAAATTTTGGGAGCCGGGTGGGCTCGCAGTGATCCAGCTCATCTTTTTTGTGCCTAAAGTCTGCTTTAACTCAGTAGCCGTTGCAAAGTTCAGAACAAATCGAAGACCTTGTCCAGGGCAGTGTCTATGAAGTTCATCTATGTTCATTTTATTTGCAATATTATGGAGCATTTCCCAGCTTTAAGTGAAGTTTATACTGAAATCCTGTTGAGCTATTGTAAACCTTGTAAAGACATTTTCATATATTTCATTTTGAAGGCAATTAGTAAATAAAAGGTTACTGAGTAAGCTTCTCTTCTGGTAGAAATGAGCACCTTGTAGAAACTAATGAGATCTGTTTCTTCTAAGCTTTAGGCACGCTGACTTTCCAGGATGTCGGTAGTACCATCCAGATGAATTCAGAGGGGCTTTCTGGGTTGTAAGCAGTATGCTGATTTTTAACTGGCATGCTTGCAAGTGATACAAACCAGCATTTGTGCTGATGTTAGTCTGAACTGACACAGGGATGAACAAAATGAAAAGGGTCGCTTTCATTGTCTATGACTGCAGAGGCAGTTAGGGTGCTGATTTCTAACCCATACGGGAGTCTTGACTGTTCCAATGCATGTTTTCTCCTGTCTGAAGGTGGGGCTATATATAGTCCTGCAAACTGCATCACTGGGTGGATGCTAAAGGCTGGGTGACCTCTGAACAGCTTAATCCAGCACCGAAGTCTTTCTACATGCTGGATGTCCAGAAAACAGTCTCTTCAGGGGTCTCCATAAAATACCATTTTTTGGGGCAGAAACAAAGCTTTGGACTCTGAAGAGAGTACATTTCAAATTATGCTGTGGAAAAAGCAATAGGGATAAAGCATTTAGGATATAGAAGAGAATTTCATAAAGGAGATGAGCATGTGGTATGGATGAGTAAAGTAACAGCAGAAGGAGAAGGAGATCAGACTCACAGGACCCACTGCAGTGTAAGAGTAGTCTTCTAGAGACTTGTACAGCTGTGGATTTCTACAGGGTTTGTAACTTTGGCAACTAGCGCTAAAGGCCTGCCAACATTTGCAGCTGTTGATCTGCTGTATAATTCTGAACTACCCAGACTTACTGGCAGATTGTGTTATGGTCAGCGAGTCCCGTGCAACCAGAATATGCAGGACTATCTGCACTTGCCCTTCCTATGTAGTCAGTTTGCACATGGCTGTGAGCATGCACGTCACTGTTGCTTTTATTGGGCTGATAGATGGTCACAAAGCTGCCTTTCAATGAAAACGGTATTTCACTATCTAGAGCAACAGAGCTGGTAGGTATGGCATCATATAGCCAATCCTGATTCTTTATCTGATGCAAACTGAAGTAGCCCCACTGACTTCACTGATATTGGAAATGACTCATTCTAGCAGGGGACCTGGCTCTGTTTGACTGTTTCTCATTAGAAAGGATTTATGTTGCACAGTTAATTCATTGCAGGCTAAAGGTTCACATCTCCCCTATTTCTTCCACCCGAATGCAACTTTGCTTTCCCATCAAGGGACACCGCTGAATGCTCCAAGGGCTGGTGAAATTAAAAGCCTGACAGTGGATAAAACGTGAGGGATATGTACAAAGGAATATATGGAGCAGTGGATGAAAGTGTGTTTGCCTGCTTGGAGCTAGTGTTTATCCTTCCTTATGCAGCTCAAGAGCTCGTGGGCAGCTGGTGGCTGTGAGCCAGCCTGGGGTGTGTCGCTATGGTTCTAGGTTGGATTGCTGTTATGGCTGGAGAAAGAACAACAAGGGCCACTGTGAAGGTAACATTAACACTTTGTTTGTCTCCTCTCCATGGCCGTGTACTCTGTACTTGGCACTAATAAAGTGGTTTCATATGAGTCTGCCAAAAGTTGTGGAAAGAAACCTTGTGAGGCAGTGAAATCTCTAACTCAGAGTGAAGGCACCATGTTTGAGAGACCATCTCCTTAAAAACAGTTTTGGATAAATAATGCCAAACAATAAAATACAGATTCATAAATTCTTAAGTCCGAAAGGGAACATCTGTTCTAACTTCGTGCAGATCCCTGGCCAAGAGATTAGAAATGGTCCATGCCTATCCTGTTACAGCTCTCAAACAAATAAGTGCCAACAATGCAGTGTCTTCTAATGCTATGTGCAAAGCCCTGAAGTTTTTTTATGGGTTGATATTCTTTGTCTTTGGAAGTACACAGCCTCTGAGAACTGGTAGGTTTCAACATTCTAAAAATATAAATAACAAACAAATGATAATTGTACCTGACTTGAACTTGGATAGCCAGCCAGTGTTCTGATCTGTGGATTGTTGGCTTAATGAGTAATCACTGATTCTTAAGAGACTTCTAATTAATTAAGGTTCTGCAGGCTCCAAGGAGAAGGTAACGTGGACTAGCTCTCTAGCTGTATTTAGACAAAGTACAAAAGTCCTAAAATACGAGCTTTAGGACTTTTTTCTCAGATGTTGCACCTGTTGTCCCAGTGAGTTTGGCATTGCATATCTAGTGAATATGAATAGAGGCCTGGTGTTATTAACAGCTGAAAATCAGCCGACTGATGTCTAAAAATGAAAGATGTTAAAAAGCTTCTGCTCTCTGTATGTATAACATGTCAGTTAAAACAGAAAAATGTGATGAATACCTTTATTAATAAAATTGTACATTGTTTAATATTGCACTAGTTTTTGTGCCAATGAATACATGGAGGCGCAAGTGGTAAATATAACCTAGATATAACTTAGATGAGCCAGTGGAGTAAGCTGTCTTATTTTAAAGCAGTAGGCTGCTTTCTTACTAGACTCCAGTTTGGTAAACTTTAAAATTCTTCTTTGGCAGATTTCTTTAAATAAACTATAATGTAATTTTGCATTGCAAATCCAGATGCAGTGGTGTTCTCTGCTTTAGAATTAATACTCTGTTGATCTCGCTCTGTGCCACTTTGCGTTCAGGAACAAGGGCAGTATTTAACTATGCCTTAATTTGTAGACCTATTGGATTAATACTTCTGAATCAGTCTTTAAATGTAGGGAAGATACTTGAATACTTGAATACGGCTGTATGAATTCTAACACAGTATATAGCAAGTAACACCGAGTCTCCTGTTTCCTATACTTCAGGTAATTTAGTTACATGAGGTACCTGGAGATGGATCGCACTACATACTCTTTCACTTTTTTGCAGCTAGTGCTGGTGTAAATGCATACTTACTTTACTTTCGCTGGAAAACCTTTGTGTTGATTATCAAATTGACTTCAAAAGATTTTTCATCTGAATTATTAAAAGTAGTCTTAAGCCTTAGTAAAGGCAGCATTTAATTTCTGATTAATGATCCAGATGGTTGAGAACTAGAAAACTTCTGCTCTTCAGTGCATCCAGGCTAAACACAGCCCCTTCAAGTTATTGTAAACCTGATACAGATATATATATTGGGACATGTGGTAACGACTGTTGTCTCATCATTTGACAGACGTGCTCTGGATTGTCCAGCATGGGATGGGCATGTTCCTCTGCTGTAAGTGGGAAGAGGTAACAGTGGAAAACTGCTGATGGGTAATACACTGTCCATGGATGCAGGAGAATGCTGTTGCCTCTTCCCAGCTCCAGGGGCAGGTCATGCTGTTGGCTAGCTGCTCCTCACATACAGCTTCCCCAAAATAGGAAAAGATAAAAGTGTACGGTACTGTAAATGTTGATTTGTTGGCACTACAAAGTACCGTGAGGGGGGGAGCTAAAAGGAGCCCTTCTCCAGGTATTCACACGCCTGGAAAAGCACACACTCATGTAATCAGTGCTAGTGTCACTCTTCTCCAGGAAGAAATAAACCACTGATTAGTAGCTCCTGTGCCCAAAGTAGAGAGAGAGAGGGGTACGGAGGATGCTGAACTTATGCAACAAGCTTTTAGTTAACAAAGTAGGGCAAATTTCTCCCTAAATAGTTTCTAACTTGTTTTCTTTCTCTCTCCTTTCTCTGTCTGGTTCCTCCAGCTATCTGTAGACATGGCTGCAAGTATGGCGAGTGCATGGGACCAAACAAGTGCAAATGCTTTCCTGGATTTACAGGGAAAACCTGTAATCAAGGTTGGTGCACATGGTGATACCACTCCAGAAGACAGACTGTTGGTGTTCTGCCCCCTAACCTTGTGTGAAGGATTCTGATCTCTTCTATAGAAAGAAGAAAATCTTGCTTTCCTATTTTTAAAGAACTTAGAGTTTAAGGCACTTGTCTAGCATGCTGAAGATACAAGCTCTGCGGAATCACAGAATGGTTGAGGTTGGAAGGGACCTCTAGAAATCATCTAGTCCAACCCCCCTGCTCAACAAGGGTCCTCTAGAGCATATTTCCCAGGATTGCCTCCAGGCGGGTTTTGAACATCTCCAAGGAAGGAGACTCCACGACCTCTCTGGGCAACCTGTTCCAGTGCTCTGTCACCCTCACAGGAAAGAAGTTTTTCCTCATGTTCAGGCGGAACTTCCTGTGGTTCAGTTTGTGCCCGTTGCCTCTTGTCCTGTCACTGGGCACCACGGAGAAGAGTCTGGCCCCATCCTCTTGACATTCCCCCTTCAGATACTTGTAGACATTGATGAGATCGCCTCTCAGTCTTCTCTTCTCCAGGCTGAACAGGCCCAGCTCTCCCAGCCTTTCCTCATATGAGAGAGGCTCCAGTCCCCTCCTCATCTTTGCAGCCCTCCGCTGGACTCACTCCAGGAGTGCCACGTCTCTCTTGTACTGGGGAGCCCAGAACTGGACACAGTACTCCAGGGGAGGCCTCCCCAGGGCTGAGGAGAGGGGCAGGATCACCTCCCTCCACCTGCTGGCAACACTCTGCCTAATGCACCCCAGGATCCCCTTGGCCTCCTTGGCCACCAGGGCACACTGCTGGCTCATGGTTGACTTGTTGTCCACCAGCACTCCCAGGTCCTTCTCGGCAGAGCTGCTTTCCAGCAGGTCAACCCCCAGCCTGTCCTGGTGCTTGGGGTTATTCTTCCCTAGGTGCAGGACCCTGCACTTGCCTCGACTTCCTTCAGTGTGCAGAAGTTTCAACCTACATCATGTATCTCCTGCAGACTGGTGACAGTCTCATTCGTAGGCAGAGGATAAAGGCACAGAGAGATTATATAGGAAATTCCTTGAAAAGCTGTCATTTGAATCCAGAGCCCATTTTAGTTCAATAACTACCGTCTTTCTTCTCAGAAAGGATTTCTAGACATGTAATTTCTCAAGTTGCCTGGGCCAATGTCATTTGTTTGCATATACTGAATAGTATTTTTTGAGAATACAGAACTGGGAGTCTTCAGAACTGCATATTCGGTAACTGAGTGCACCACTTTAGCTTCATAAACTTAGTTAGCCATAGAAATTTTTCAGCTAAGACACATCAGTGACAACTCAGTTTTTTTCTCATCCAACGTATGAGACTTCTGTGTTGGATCAGATGAAAGGAGCAGGTTACTGTGCATGGAGAGAGGCCAAAATACTGCAGTGCGGATGAGTGAGCTGCAGGCACCATGGGGGAAGAATGAAATCAGGGCCACATGAATGTGTAAGTCTTCTGTTGCTGCCTTCCTTAGCAGCTGCAGTCTTTGCTTGAAAATGTTGACGTAACATCCTAAAAACATATTTTTCAGAATTTTCTTAAGATAATCCCATTTATTATGTAATACCCTTCAAACAACATGCTATGAAGTTATCCTTTTAAATATTTTGGAAAACTCCTCCCATTTTTCTTTCACACTTTTGATGTTGCTTACAAGGAAACTCCTCAGTACCCCTAGAGAGGAAAGTGAAACAGCAGCCTTGGTTATACCTAATAAATATGTAGGTACCGCTTCTGGCTTCAGCCTCTGAAGTTTAACCTCTGTAATGACTTATCAGCTTAAGTTACCTGAAAGTAGCAGATAAGGGCCTAATTTGCGGGACTTTCCTGTGCAGTTACTCCAGCTGTGTGGGATATGTCCTCTGTGCATAGCAGATCAACTCTGTGTACATACAGATTCAAAGTCTGAGGCTATATGGAAGCACTGGGTAGACCTTCATTCATGACTAAGGCACAACTCAAGGTCAGTAACTATAAAGCTTCCCAAAATTATCAGATAAGCTGATATGATGCTGACCAGCCTCAGATGCATCAGTGTCACTGTGCATGTAGTGTGTAGCACTAGTACACAGATCCGTGACTGGAATTCTCTTTGGACAGAGATAAAGCTGCTTTTTCTGAGATCCTTAAGTCTACCTCTTTACCGGTAAATGAAGCATATCTGAGAACGCTTCTGGGCACTAACTGCCTGATATGGAGCAGCCAGCATCTATGCTATTAGCTACTAAACTCGGCCCCCAAAATAGGGCGCTACATGCAAAGTGCCTGTTAGCTCTTCGGCTTGTTCTAACTTTTGAAGCATGGCCAGGAATTGTTTGGGAAACTGGTGGCTGGCATGGGCCAGAAATGTCCCGGGGCCATTGCAGCAGCACAGTGAGCATATAGGTGCTCACGTGTCAGCACCAAGGAATGCTCAGAGCCACTGTTTAATTTACAGGCAGATGTAGCCTTGGTCTGTTCGTACAGCAAAATGCTCTGCTGAGCAAGCTCAACCTGAGCTAACTGAAGTAACAGAGATAAGGGAGCTGTATTAGTCTGCTACTCAGTCTGAGCTAATTAGCCGTATCTCTGTAAGTTCTTTTAGAGCTGCGTGCGCTATCTCTGCACTACTGTGCATTGTGCGAGATAGGCAGAGCTAGGCACTTTTGAAAAATCTATGGCCAAAGTAGAATAACTTTTTTCCCCTCCAGTTTCTTTCAGATATGAGAATCCTGGTTATTAAGTGGAACCACAGTAGCATAAGAAGTGCAGTGTGACTGCAAGCTGATAGGTTGTGTTTTTTCAAACAGACCCTATCTATAAGTAACAGAATGCAACTGTTTTTTCTTTTTTTTTCTTCCTTCTTCTCACCTGAACTGTAACAGATACTTCTGCACACATAGAACCATGAAGTTTACATGCTGAATGGCCTGTTTTTTCTCTGGCAGGCAGGCTGCATAGACGTGAGAAGAAATGCTTCTCATTAGAACTGGAACTGTGTAAGCTCAGTGCTTGGAGAGTTGTATATTTATTGAAATTATATCACTGGTCATGTGTGCCATTGAACATGTGGAATGGGCTGTGTACACTGGTGTATTTTGTTAATGAGTTCTGTCTGTTTACTAATAAGGTTTCAAATATGAGAGGTAGAGGTGTCAGTTCACGGAAGTCACAAGCACAGGTATTGTTGCTTTATGATATGACCGATACCATTGTCAGCAGTGGTGCCTACACCTCACAAATTGAACTTCCTTTTAGGATTTTAGGATTCTGTTTTTCTCCCTGTGCAAGGTAGTTATTGGGAATTTGAAACTGATACAGCTTCTTCCAAAGCCTTTTAAATCTTGGATTTTGAGAAGGAGTTGAGATGCTTGGTAAAGTCCTTTTATCCCTGAAGTCACGTGATTCTTATACACTGTTTTTCATCTCTGCTAGATGATCCTTGCCTTCATAACATTGGTGCCATGGTGTATCCTAGAAAAAGACTCTTTGATTCACTTTATCTCAGGCTGGTTTGTTCTTCTTACTCGTATATGCTTTAGCAGTTCTAGTACAGAGGTCAGCTGGAGGACCAAATCTCCAACTGGAAGCAGAGAAATTCAGAAAAATAACTCCCAGAAAATACTATAACTGCATTTCTCTCCCCATCACTCTTCCTCTTCCCAACAAATTAGCAGAGATAGCCAGAGTTTGCATTAGTTTTTCAGGTGCAACAGACTATGTACGTTAGTTTTTGTAGTTTTTCTCAGCCAGATGGTGTGCTAAACTCTCATGTTGCTACCTAGCTGGCTCATTTTCCATCCAAGCAGTATTACTGTGGGGAATATAAGGCAGTAGGCAGACAATATTGTCAACCTATCTGTATGAAAAAAAGATGTGTGTATGTGTGTAACGTGTGTGTGCGTATGTATAAACCCAGTACTTATTTCAATGACTTTTACAGATCTGAATGAATGTGGACTGAAACCACGTCCCTGTGAACACAGATGTATGAATACCCATGGCAGCTACAAATGCTATTGTCTCAATGGGTACATGCTTATGCCAGATGGCAAATGTGCAGGTAAGTAACAAAGCTGATAGGACAGACGCACCAAAATCATCTAATTACATTTAATCACAGCAGAGTTTCTTCCCTAGCCTATTTAGGGTATGCCTCAGTTCTCAGGTACTGTCAGTACCTGGGAGGGACTTTTCATTTGACGGTATATACGGACAAAGTAAAATAGAGCATAGTTGTATTTTTAGTGTTCAGAGAAAGTTTTGTCCTATGGAAATAAAAACCTTTGGTGTTGGTTCAGATGAAGGGCAACTTGTATAACCTTGGTGCACGGTCCTTCCCGTTCATCTGTTTGAGTAAGGGTGAACGAATCTTTGCAAACAAAGCACTGGAATACCCTGTGTTTTACTGTGCTGAAATTCATCCCATTACTCCTTGCTGTATCTTCCTGTGATTCCTGATTGCTGCTCTGAGTGCTGATATCCTTCCCACAGTTGCCATCCCCTTCTTACACACAATTGTCTACTCAGCTGAGGCTTATCTAAACTGTATTTCTACCAGTTTTCCTTGTCTTTAAGCCAGCATGTGATGGAAAGCATTCTGTTCTCGTAGCCAACCCAGTTTTTCAGACCTGAGGAAGCTTCTTATCTTTCAGTGACAGTTTTGTTTGGAAAAAAATTTTTTTTCACTTGAGCTATTTCATACAGACTTTGGCTTTGAATTTTCACAAAACCCTAGGCAATGCTGTGACTGTCCTTTCTGGAGTCTGCTGGACTGGAGCAGGTACATCAGTTGGGCAAGAGAGCTAGTTGGTCGCAGCAGTGGAACAATCTGCTTGAGGTCTGTCCTAAACCTATTAACCCTGGTGTGCATCTTGTGCAGGGCAATTTCTTGTGGATTTAACAGAGAACAATAAACTCCAAAAGGGTTCTGTCTCCAACCTTGGAAACATCTATTTACCAGACAGCGTGTCCATCTGGTGATTTTGCTTTCAATCAAGGGATGCTCAGAGAAATGCTCAGCCTTAGCAAAAGCTTACAGACTGCAGGATCCGCAGTTCCAGCCAGAGCTGCTGGTCTGTCTCTTGCAGCTGGAGGCTGTAACTGTGGCAAACAGTGCCTAGGGCTGCAGGTCTCAGAGGCTTCCCCTTCCCTGCAGCAGAGCTCAGAGGCTGTAGCTCTGCGTTACTCTGCGTGACAGGACTTTCCAGAAGGCAGCAGCTGTGGGGCCTCTGAGATCTCTGAGAAATAGGTATTCCTTTGTGGACAGCTTGTGTGTCTGCTGACATCATGGAGCTGTTTTCAGTAAGGCCACTATCTTATGGACAGCTGAAGTTGGCAGAAGCCACAATTAAGGTCAAAAGAAACCATCCTATCTGACTTCCCTTTCATCCTAGCAACCTGTTTCTATTTTGTCCCATCCTTCCCTCGCTCCCTCTGCTCTGAGCATGGCCGCTTTCTGCAGCCACACAGTAAAGCCAAGCCAGAAAGCTAGATCCAGACTGTAATTAACAGTTTTTGATTGCTTAGTTTTCAGGTAGTCTTAGTTCAGGATTGGTTTTCTAATTCAGGAAATGGCACAGTCAAGCCAAGTGGTTGTTCCTGCACTGTGTCTTTCTTGTGCCAGCACAAAAAGCAAGGGACGGTGTGAATTTTTCAGCAGCAGTAGTGGCCAGTTTTGAGTATATAAGAGAAAATAGCCTGAGCAGCTGTGAGCATTGAAGCCTGTGTTTGACTTTAGTGTACTGAAACAATGTTGCACAAATTAAATATTGGTAGAACCCTGAAAAAACAAGTTTCAGGAAAAACAAGGTTTCCAGTAAAACGGAGGCTCTCATTCATCACAGCTCTAGTTAAGGAGACACAACCTTTGTTTATACAGCTTGCGCTTCATTAACTCTACCTGTCTAACACCTTCCAGTTCTGAAGTACTTTGATTTTCTTAAGCAGAAACTATGATTATGAAATGAAATATAAATTATTTACTCAAGTAGAAATTATTGTGACTTAAGTCTCCTAAGTTATCATCGAGCAACATGGGAGTCTAAGTCTGTACTCAGATGAGATGCTGGTTTACTTAACTAACTGTAAAATTCTCGTTATTTTATTCAAACAAACTTGTTAAGCACAGTTGCTCCTTTTGCCTCAAATTCTCTAATGTAACTCTCCTTAATAAGATGAAGTCCATCTATTTTAAGCAGTTAATACAACTGTAGCTATAAATGCACCTGCACAAACATCATCTTGTCTACACACCACGTTATTACAAGCAATTCTGAAAACAGAGGTACTTCTGCCAATAGGTATGCTACATTGTAAAATAAAATTCATATCTTAAGCAGCAAGCCGGTTTTCGAGGTCTTGCAGTTTGTTTCTGTATCAAATAAATCGACAATTGCTTTGGGTTTTTCACTTGCAAAGAACCTATATAAAGTTCTGTTTCCCTGAACGCAGCTGTAGTGAAGTGGCAGAAAATAATTTCTTTGCCTAACCTCAGGTAAGCACTTCCAGACTCTTCTCCTCTCCCTAGCATCAGTAGCATGATGTCTTCTGGATGTCGTCAGGGTTTTAGTTATGTGTTTCTACATACTTAGAATGCTTCTCTGGCTTTTCTAGCCTCACAGTTCTTTCAGATGAGATCTAGACCCCCATATTTCTATTTAGAGGCTAGTCAAAGTCATCTCCAATAATTCACACTCCTAACCAATATATGGTAAACAAAACCTGTGTTCTGGCTGGTGACTTTAGTTATATGTATCTGCTCCATAAAGGAGCTTAATCACTTATTTCAGAATAAAGGGTGATTTGTAGGTCCATCAGGCTAAGTAACTTTTAAAATCAAATTCTATGCTAGAAATCTAGCATGTTCAATGTTAAACAATAAAAAATCTCTCTACTGAATAAGCTTTCTGTTTGGCAAAGCTGCAGCCTATAACGATGGAAAATGTCACAAGCCCATCTCTTCTACTTTGAGCACTTCTGTCCCTTTGAATCTAAAAGATAATAGTAAGAAATCGCAGAACTGGGAGCAGAAAAAAAAGGAATAAAGGCAGATAAGAAAGAACATAGTGAAAGGGTGGGGAGGGAAGTTTAAGCTCTATGTCATGGACTGCTGAATTGTATTGTTCATATATGTGTTAATGTATGAATAGCTTGGTTAATGAATATTGAGAATGATGAAAGGAATTTTTGTTTTTCTGATTAATTTTCTGTATTCATCCAGATCTAATTTAGTAATAAAGCTTGTGTAATTCCAGCCTAGACTTTTATTTTTCTTTTTTAAATACTGTTTTCAGGCTCTAGGACATGTACCATAGTAAATTGCCAATATGGATGTGAAGAGGTCCAAGAGGAGGTACGGTGTCTTTGTCCATCAGGTGGCCTTCAGCTGGGACCGAATGGAAGAACATGCATTGGTATGGTTAGAGAGCTTACTCCCTGCTGCTTTTCTGTAGGATACCAAAAAAACTTTTGAGTATATGGAAAAGGGTAATAAGTGATTACCATCCTCACTGGCAGGAATAAAGCCTCTTGTTGCTTGCAGTGTGATGTGAAGTTTGCATGCTTTTTTTTAATAACCTGTTCTCATAACATTGACCATTTAACTGTTTTTGGCTGGTCTCATCCCCAATAAATAACTAAGTGTTTTGATGTAATTTGGAGTCATTAACAGATTCAGTTTCTCTGAGGCTGTTAGGTACAATGCTTTGCCTGCAGGAGGCTGTCCTACTGAAATTATGTTGTTGTAGGACTTTGGGGTTGTGCTTGGTTGGATTTTTCTTGTATTGTGATGAACCAAAACACTGACTTCTGGATTTTAATATAGCAGCCTCGATATCACTTTGCCTAGAGATTTCTTGTGAGAAAAGAAACATTACTCGATAACACTAGATGCTGTTCTGTGACACTGGTTTTACCTTACCACGTTACAGTACTACAGCATTGTAATGCAATGCTAAACTAGTACCTGTTTTAGTATTGAAATTAACTTCTTTCAAAACCCAGTAGATGTGAAACAAACCCTCCAAAGTAGGGACCATTTGAAGAAGCAGAGAACACGTGGTGGTGCAAAGTCACTACTGTGTCATAAAGTGGCATGGGAGGAGCAGATGCCAGATATCACTGGCGCTATTTTAAATTTGACATCCCAACAAAGCAAACATCCAGAACATCTTTCCCTTTCATCTATTTCACTGGGCAGAGCGCTCACAGCTTAGAAACTTTCTTGCTGTCTCCTGACTTAGCCTAGCACAGGAAAGTGCAGAGATGCAGTGGAAAGAGCTGTTGCTGTTCCCTGCTGCCCTTTGTTACAGGTTTCTGGGACTTTTGCTTAAACTACCCTGTCATGTTTCCTCTTTCAGGAAGTCGTGAGTCGAATTTGCCTAGTTCCTCGCTTCCCAGTTCTGTGACCTTAGGGCAGATCATTTTTCCCAGGGTTCCCGCTGTCAGTTGCCCTAACTTTTACCATGCCAGGTCTCAAGATCTTTGATAAAGTTAGTTCGCGTTCTGTTGCCTCATTCACATTGCTGCATGCAAAGGTGTCCCAAAGTGTGACAGTTATGGGGCTTTTTTTGTTAAACAAGTGCTTTTAGAATTTGTGATAGCAAAGACCAAAGCATCCCTGTGCAAATCCCAACTAGTTCTTGCTTTCTCAGTTTACCTTCCCATGGATCTGACCAGCATCTGTTCTCCTGCTCTAGATATTGATGAATGTTCCACTGGCAAAGCTGTTTGCTCTTACAACCGCAGATGCGTCAACACGTTTGGAAGCTATTATTGCAAGTGTCAGCTTGGTTACGAACTGAAAAATGTCAGTGGCCATTACAACTGTGTAGGTAAGATTTAGCCCATAAATTTTCCTTCTTTAATTAACTTCTTTTTTCATTCTCATACCATGCATCTTTCATGCCTTAAGTGTTTTGACCAAGTCTAGGGGTACTAGCTCAGGAAATGGATAAAAGTTGTCACTAAGCGTATTCTTTATGACACTTGGAAATTTTCTCTGGGTAGTCTCTGTGGCCTGATGAAAGATCTAATCATTAGTATTTGCAAATTACACTGCCTTATTGTACCAGGTCATCTCTAGGCACTTCTTTCACAAAAACGTACAATGGTTAACACCATGTAAAAAAAGATGCAACAGACAGTTGACTGTAAGGAAGTGCAAGTTTTGGTATGAGTTTATGTGAAGAACAATTTTTTGTCCTTACTTCCAATCTGATGGACAAGCAGTCCTACAGTCTTTTTTCTTTTGTATGTAGTCAGTCAGCCATGTGAATCAAGTTGCTACGTTACTGTAAAAACAGTTGTTTGGATGGACAGTACTGAACCTCAAAAAAAGAAAAAAAACTGCATGAAAATAATAGATTTTAATTACTTTTCAGGTTTCTCTTGCATGTCTAAGATTCTCCCAAGCAAAAATAAATATAGACAATAAGTTATCTTAACGTGTCCAGATGGTAAAACAAACGTCAAAACACCCTTACTCCTGTTTCAACCCATTAGCTAAATGGTGGAAGAGGAGCAAGTATAAGTTAATCCAGCAGACAGAAAAGTATTGTTCAAGCAGTCCACTAGCTGAGGGCCTGAAAGGGTTGGATACAAGTGCATACAAAAGAGAATTAATAAGAGAATTAATTTTTTTTTGTTTTATTTGTTTGAAGTGAGGAGTCAAGGTGGGGGGAGCTTTTAAGGCAGGATTTGGAGGCTGAAGTTTGAGTTTCCTGTTTTATGTAAACTTGGGAATTTAAAAAAGAAAAAAATATATATACTCTGATACCAAATGTGTGCATGAGGGGAAAAATGGAAGTGTCTCAGTAGTCAAGATTTTGTCTGCAAACCTGAATCTCACTCTCAGACATGCCATTTCGTTGAGGGAGTCTTCCTTCTACCTGTCTCCTAGCTGACCTACATGATGCAGAAGATTTGTAAGTTTCTGAAAATGAAGCGATTTGGATAAAACACAAATAGTGCAAACATTTGTGCAACAACTTGGCTCCCTCATGTGGGAGAAATCGGAAAAATCTTTGTGATGTAGCAAATCAAATGGAAAAGGAGATTAAGATCAGTTACTTCTGATGTCTGTACATTTGATTGCCAATATTTTCTACTGAATTTTTCCTAATAATGCTTTTTTTAATCATTCTAGGCATCATATGTATGCCTAGAATGTTAGAAGTAGAAGATCTCAAGATCTTGGCCTGCCCAGTATTACTTTCAATTAAATTTTGTCTAGAGTGAGTGAAAGTGAGGGGCAGATATGGTGACTAAGTAATTTTTTCATTGATATCACTCCTACTCTCTTGGTGCCTTTTGCATTTTGTTAATAGAACAGTGTATACAACCTATAACCTGAATCCTGTTCTCATTCGCAAGATCAGTAAAATACATTTTGTCTTTACTAGGACGCTCTACATTTTTCATGGATGCATATGCAGTTGTGCAACTGCAGCTGGACATTAAGCAATCTCTCCTTGTGTGAATTCTTCTGCCTCAGATGGTCTCTGGTCTAACACTAGTGCTTACAATTCCTGGAAACAGATAACGGGCACAGACAGGCTGTCATGAAGCTTGGGTTTCAATGAGGTTTTCACTAAAGCATTTATATCTTTCTGTAGATGTAAACGAATGTGTGGCAAATACACACAAGTGTAACGTCCATGCAGAGTGCCTCAATACACAGGGATCCTTCAAATGCAAATGTAAACAGGGCTACCGAGGAAGTGGATTTGATTGTTCTGGTGAGTACCACTGGATGCCAGGAACAGTATTATATTGCTTTTGTCCAATAACTAATGGATAGATATAAGAAGTTTTCTAGAACAGTGCTGAACAGTGCTGCTATACCAACCAAGGCAAACCTCTCCCTGAAGTAATGTATTGCACAAGTCATAGTTAGTACAAGTATTATTAGCTCAAATTCATTCTGCCTATGAGCCCCAGGTGTTAGGAACCACAAGTAGAACAGAGAAGAGAATTTGGCCTCAAGAAACGGAGAAATAGCTTTAAAAAGTCTACTGTATATGTCCCTCGAACTTCAAGGCTAGCCTCTTGGAGGGCTGTTTGTTCCCTTCCAGAGGAATTTCGAGCAAACTCAGTAAACTCAAAACAGTTTCAAGCAAACTTAAAGGGAGGGAGGGAAGGGAGGAAGGTGCCATGACTTCTATGCTAAACTATTTTTACTTATAATTTTGATTTTGTTTGAATCTATTTACTGGCATATTATATTAAAGACTTCCTATAAAGATGTTCTTGCCAGTTTCTAACTGAAAATGGCCCTCCAGAAAGGAAGATGGGAAAGGCTGCTCTTGTCTTTATATCTTAAATTAATCTTTTTATTAAATATCTTTATTAAATCCGGGCGAGATTTATCCTACAAGTTCATTGGAGATGTTTTCCTCAGGAGAACATCCAAGTAAGTATTTCTCAAATTTTCTGAATAAAAGATGTTGTGAAAATATTTTAAAAGCTCTTATCTTTAGCAAATCAAGTCCAGTATGTAATCCTTTTCCTTGTGTCTTATTCAAGTAATTCTTTTAATCTTTGTGATCAAATATGCAATTATTATTGTTCTTCATGGTCTCAAACCTGTAACTATCTGTATTATTCGTGTTTCTATTTCCATTGTAATAGTAGTTGAAACTTCCAATATTGCATCAATATTGACACTTCCTGTATATGAAACAGCATTATATCTGTATGATAATTTATCAACCATTATTCTCTCTGCATTTAATATTAAATATATCCAGCCAGTATAGGCACATTCCAACTCTAAAGGCATTTGTAGCCTTTGGATCTCAGGTTTGACTTGTTCTACATCTTGTGTTTGTATATTACAAGAATGTACTTAGCATCTAAAGCTTGTGTAGGGTATGTTGTTATTATCCCTAGCCATCATCTCCAACTGACATATTTTCCATCAGGTAAAATTCGGGCCAGCTTAAATCGCATGCTTCCATCGGGGTCCTTGCCAGGGTCAAACAAAAACATTATTTCAATCAGATAGATTCAGATAGATCAGATAGAATCATTTTTTAGATTAAGAGCTTCACAGTGCTATGCTAACACTGTGCATATATATGCTGTTGTGCTATCTTATACTGATAAAACTCATAGAAAAATGTATTAGTCTTCCAGGCTTAAAAGTTTTATGTGTTTATTCTTCTACTCCGAGTATGGTGGGGTTTGTTGCAATTTCTCTTGTGTGTTGCCATGCATTGACTGCTGCATTGAGATAACAACTTTAAATGTTGCATAATTTCTCTCTGAGTTATGCAAATGTAGCTTATCAAGTATGGTCTAAAACTTAGGATAATCTAGTGAAACACAAAGAGAGAGACCCAGTGGAGAGTTTCAATATATTTTTATTATTTGAAATTCGTTTTAGTACCTGTCACAGTATAATTTGGGCATGTTACCATATTTTAAACACAAAACCAAAAGAACTCGATACATAAGCAGGGCTAAAACTTTATTTTGGAAAAAACAAAAAAACAAAAAAAACCTCAGAGATTTATCCCAAGTTAAACTTTTGTTAAGTTTGTTTCCAATAAAAAATACTGACTTTTAATCAGAGGAACTAAACACATAAAAACCTGTCTCGTACTGATTAGTTTGATTTGGAAACAAATTGCCTCATCAGAGCTATCGAGAAGATGTCTTATGGTCAGATGCACTGTTCAGTTGCTTTACACATCCCTTGTGATATATCACTGCAGTATATTACAATGGAAGAGATGCAGCGTGGCTTGAGGCCTGGAGGAATATCAAAGCAAACCAACATGACATATACTTCATATGGTTCTATTAAAATGAAGTGTACCGTTACTGAAACGTTAACCAAAAACATCTCTGAGTAAAAAGGTCTGGGTTTGGGGAGTTTTTTTCTTTTTAATGAGGAGCTGAACATTTCAAAGGAAAATCTTTTTGACCAAGTCTACATAAAAAATATTCTTTCCTCAAGCAGAAACAGTTCAGCAGAAATACTTCCTTAAATATGATCAAAGGAAATATTTTGGCGTGTGGAGATGCTATGGCATGTTCTTCAATGTCTAGCCCTATACAAAAATCAGTGTTGGAGATAGGAATGCCAACAAGAAGATGGAGATCTTCTGTTAAGTTGTTTTTTTCTCTCTGTACACTTCCTGATGTCATATTTCTAATGATTGAAGTCCATTAGCTGTTTAAAAGAGGAATAAGCTGTGCATTTTTAAAAATTGTAGAAGACTAAATGGACTAAATGCAAGCAAGGATAAAAGAAATAATGCACAGTAATGAGAGAAAGCAGAGCCATAGGCATAAAGGAAAAAAGCAAGCATCTAACTGGAAAGGTGAGTATAGCAATAGAGGGGAAGAAAAAATACAAAGTCAATGATAGGTAAAACCTGAAAAGCCGTGGTGCTAAAAAGAGACTGGTTTCTCTGGTGGCAATTCCCACGCATACTCCTCCTTTCTTTGGGGAAGGGGAGGAGGTTCTTTTAACACAGACTATTTCAATGGTTGGTTCATACTACCTCCCTAGAAAAAGTTGGATCAGTATAACTGATGGGGGCAGGACATGAGCTTTGCTGTCAGATAAAATGTTTGTTCAAATATTGACAAAAATACCTATTAGATGTCCCACTTTACACTGAAATGCTAAGTGTTCTCCATGTCATAAAGCAATTGTGGAAAAACTTTGGCTTTATTGAAGTCAGAGGAAGTTTTTGCTGTTGGCTTTAACAGGATGAGGATGCCATCCTGTGAATTTGGGAATTTGAGACTGTGGTTGGACAACGTTTCTTTTGGAGGCAATGGATGCAACTCCTGCAGTCCGTTCCCACTCCCAACAGTTGTAGCTGGGGCCGTGTGGCATCTAGAAGAAAGGCTTCTCAAATACACCCTTAGTACTGCATGTAATTATTCACATGGGATGGGGAGAGGTATTCGTTAGCATCTTGATAGCAATTGTCTCAAGAATATTGCAAACTGGTTACTGTGGAAGCAGAATTAGCTTTTCATAACAAATGAAAAAATTTCTAATATATAGTTTAATTTTCAGAGTACTATTACTAAAGGAACTAAGCACATTGTTTATAATGAGACTTCTGAGGCTAAATTTCCTCATACTGCCAAATAACTTAACAAGAGAAGTAACGTAAAATCCAGGTTTGTCCAGAAGGTGGAGGAAGTTGTTTATTTAATTTGTATATCAATATACTGACTTAGCAGAAAGCTGCTAAAATATCAGGCTGCAAACAGTGCTGTTGGTATGAATATGAGCTGGGGGGGGGGTGGTTCAGGCACCCTTTTGCCATTCAGCTCTCAGATATGCGTGACGTAACAGAGCGTATTTCTGAACTGCCTCTAACACACGTTTCATTTGAGAAGCTATAGAGGTTGACCTTTCAAATGCTTCCTAAAAGGGTCCTAGCTATTTCCATATCTGGCCTCTATCTTGCTACAATCTGTTGCTTTTCTCAGATTCATGCGTTTCATGATTTCCTATTGTGCATTGAAAAAACACATTTCCTTCACGACATGCTTTTATGTGCATTCCAGCCTTTATTTAAGAATAAAGTCCCACAGGCTTCCATGAGCAATTAGGATGTCATGGAGGAAAAATGAACCTCTTCTTAATTCACTTTTTTTGTAGGAAGGTGCAAAGTAATATGAAAAAGTGGTACTAACTTAAAATCTTCAGGCGTCACTCTGAAGAATATTATGGTAAGAGCTCAGCAATGGTCCTTTCTTTTTATTGCCCATCTGGAGACGTAGCTTATCTTTTGTTATGATTTGCTGAATATTTACATGGCAATACAAAGTCATGGCAATTCTCTTTGTCCCTCTTATAGTACTTAGTTTCCTTTTTGCTCATAGATTAACCCCTAAAACCCGTATGTAGTTTTGCTGTCCTGTTAACTTGCCAATTCTGAGAAAAGTTGGTGTTGACATCATAAAATTTCAAAGCTTAAAAAGCCATTCTGGTCATATCACTGGTAATATTTTTATGTTTCAGTTCAATATGGATACCAAGTACTGCTGTTGTCCTTTAATGAGTAACACTTAGGTTTTTGTCATCCCACCTCTCCTACTGTAAATACTGCTGCTTGTTTTAGTCTTATATTAAGCACAGTCCATTGTGAGGGACTTGCCCTGATTTCTTTAAGCATCCTTCCCCAAATAAGATGGTAAGAATTTTAGAAATACAACAAAGAATGTATATATATTGTTAGATGATATTCCATAATGCTTAAAAGAGAATAATAGCCTTTCTCTAGAATCTACGATACATTAAACTAATCAGACTTGCTGAATCTCTTATGGCTCTCTGAATTGGCATCCTTCATTGTGAATTCTATAACTTTTTAGAATAACTTCTCAAACTGTGTCCTGCTGATTTCGTCTTTGCTCAGATCTACAGACTCTACATAACCACAGTAAATGCTTGTCTACAGAATCATATGTATCCTTCTTTCCCTCTCTAACTTATAGGCAGAAGCTACGAATGTATTTTGTAATCCAGTCTCCTAGGCTTGTCTCTTATCAGATTTCTAAATAAACGTGCTAGGTGTCAAGGTGGTAGCAATGCTAGGTGTCAAGGTGGAAGCAATGCTGTGCCTGTTAGAGTGCAGAGTAAGCTGTCTCCTATTGCAATCCTCTTAAGTTCAGAGCCTCAGCCAGTGCCAGCTGTGGTCATATGGCACATGGGAGGAAAGCAGAGTACTAGCTGTCCCTCTTCTGTGTCGTCCCCAGAGTATTGCCCTTCACACCATACAGCACAGAGACAAGAGGTTGGCATCTGTTCTCTATACATTTTTTCCAGCTCAACTTTCACAACTCAGTGATTAGACATCCTATACCAAGCCATTTCTGTGGTCTGGTAATCCTGCAGTGAAACTGGATGACAGGAAAGATTTTCTTTTACTCTTCAGCCACCGTTTGCCATTGTTTTTCCACCTCATGCTTTAGTTCTTCCTGAATCAAATAATTGAAATATCTTGAAAAGCTGGGACATTGTCATACGAGGGTTGTAAATACAAACTGTGTGAGAACAGGAGGCCTTAATCTACATGTTTCCAGATGGAAGGTGCATAAAGGGCTGTGATGAAATGGACTACATTTAATTTTTTAAAATTGTTTACACAATCATACGGATGGATAAATGCATGAATGTTTGTGAGCAACACCTGTATGGTCAGGGGGGGAAAGAACTGAAAAAATCACTGTCTCAGCCATAGCATCCCAGACTGTCAGAGAAGTCGAGCTGTTCATTCACACAGGTCCACAGGAAGTGGGTTCTACAGAACAGACTGTTTAAGGTCATCTGTCCTATAGAGTAGACAATTCCTACTGCAATTTATGGATAAAAGCCTTAAATTCACACCGCAGGCTAGTCTAAAACTGCATTCAGATTAGAAGGATACTGGTGATATTCTTTAAAATCTACCTGGTGCCTCGTCCCGCTTTGTCCATGACATAAAGCGTGAACGTTCAGATTTTCATATTACAGGAGCAAACTAAAGTCTGCAGGCACGTGCAGACTGTACACATTCATCCACACGTTTTTATCACTTCTGTCAGCTGATTTTCTACACTGCTTGGTTCTGCACATATGAGGAGATTGGTTTTCTGACACCGGAAAGGTTATTATGTTGAGCTGTAAGAATTTTTCATTTCAGTAGGAAGACTTCAAAGCAGAAACTAAGAGCAGATGTTCCGGTTTGCTAGGCAGTCTTGACTTGAAAACCTCCATAGCTTCTTTATTAAAAGCCTGATGTTTCATGTTACTGATTGTCAAGAAGAAATTTGTTTGGAATGAAATTTTCGTATTATTTTTTATTGCTGCATTCTGAATTTAGGCTCAGAGAACCACAGCAGCTAAATCATACAGTACATCACTCATAACATTATCCTCCAGGGGAAAGGCTTGCTTACTGGATTATTAGTAAAGAGTTTACTTGCAGGCATGTGGCAAGCTAAGCACAATTTTTATCCAAAGGAAAAGAAAAACAAAATCCTCAATTTCAATCTATTTTTATTTTTTTATTGGCATCCATTTACTTTATACCTGAAACTGGAGCCTCAAAAAATCTGAATGCCCCAGGAGGCACACCAAGAGAGCTTGGTTTTGCCCCTGGGATACTAAATAGAAAATGTAGTTGCATTTGCCTTAACTAAAATGTGACAAATTCACGCTAATACAATTACATTATCTAAGAGTGAATAAAATTTAGGGAACTTCCCCTCTTTTTTCTGGATTACATGTCACTTTTATTAACTCATATTAACTGATTTTTTTTTTCTTCTGCTCCTCTTTATTTATATGAAAAGAAACATACCATATTGACTTGTCTGTCGTAGCAGTCATGAAATCCTGAGTTGATTTCAAAGCCTCATTGTCTTCTGCCTGGACTTTAAACAGCAAGGACACTGTCTTCCTCGGTAGCTCTAATGCTATGGCAGATAGAGACTTCATTAACTCTAGCAGAAACTTTGTGGTGGAAGTGAATCATCTTGTAAACCAGAACTGGTCACGCTTGAGGTCTTTCCTAAAATTTGCATAGTTGTCACACAAACGCTACCAGACTTAGTTTTGGGACAGTAGTATTGCTCAGTTTTTGGTCAGATATAAGAAGCAGCAGCTGCAATACTTCCATGGTTTCTCCTTTCAGTTTGCTTTGTACTATGCACCCATCTTGAATGAGCTGATCAAAAGTAGGCCCAGGTTTAACCCTCAGTTACGACTTGGCCATAAGCAGAAACGGCCAGCGTTCTTTGCCAGATAATAAAAAGTACATCTGAAAGGGACTAAAAGATATCAGCTGGTCTATTCTTTTTCTCTGAAGCATATCTAATCCAGCATATTCATGACAGATGTTACTCTTAACAGTTTTTAAAAACTTACAGTGATGTATTTCAGAGTCTTAAGTGGCTCGCTCCTGTGTTTTACTCTCCGATAATGGCAAAGTTTTTCATAATATCTAACAGAAATCTCTCCTGATGTCATGAAAACTGATTATTTTCCTATCTTCGTGTAGAACAGCCAACCAGCATCCTTTTTCTAGACGCCCTTTGTACTGTTACTGCGTACCGTCATTGGTGTAAAAGCATTCCTGGTGCCCTGTGTCCCTATAGGTGTATGTCCCAAAGGGTTCTTAAGAAAAAAGTCACTCATTCCAGCATTCTGACATAGTTTAATGATAGTAAAGGAGCATAATGCAATTTAAAAAGAAATAAAAGGCTTACGTCATGGACCTCAGTATGTTGACGAGGAGAGTACGATGTGAAAATCAGCCCTGCTATGTAAATATAAAAATGTCATTTAGGAATCTTACCATTGATGTTTTGAAGTTTTATGCTGGGATATAGAAGACATTTGGCTTCACTTGATTAAGGACCAAGGGTGAGAAAAACTCAAAATTCAAATTTATTTATTTTGTTTTATAGATTTGAACAATCTTGGTTGACTTTTACCCCACTCTTAAGTTTTTCTGTTTTGGCAGCCTCTGTGTTTCTGAGCAGGGTCAAAAGTTGCAAGATACTAAAAAGTTGGTTTTCCTTTTAGAATTTTGTGGCCAAGAGGAATCATAAAATACTAAAAAACTGACAAAGTAGAACATTTCTGTTTTAGTCCACCAGGCAGTTGCAAAAAGATAATAATTTGGAGTTCTTGAGTGCCTCTCCAAAATTTTGAGGTTTATCCCTTAGAACTAAATATCCCTGAAAACTAAATGAAATGCAACAGATCAACTTGATGTATCTCTTTTCAAAATATGCTCTATTTCAGTGGCTTTCAGCATGTGGTGCAAAGGAGCGTTAGGTCAGTGGAGTTCACAACAGATAGATAGGAAAAAACGCTCACTGCTGACATTTGTTATGTAGGGAATCACATCTCTGTGGACAATTTCTAGTAGCCCACAGACTGAAAAAGGCTAAAAAACTTTTCCAAGCTCAAGTGTAAAAAATAATTAATATAAAGGGCTATCTGGCCTATGTTACACAGGAGGCCAGTTCAGGTTATTAGAGAAGATTGCTTTTGCCTTTTTACTACAACAGCAGGTTGTATATACGACATAGCTAAAATGCATAGCTACTGCCTGTAGATTCAGTTCTGAGAAGAGTTGAACTTAACATCTAACAGTAGAGAATTTGGCTCAGTAGGTCTTTGGAGTTTCTAAAGGACTGCATGGTGCCCTTTATAAATGTTATGTTTACTGACTGATTCTTCAGATGAATGTTTAGCGTTTTCTTGTTGATTCTAGTTATCCCTGAGAAGTCAGTGAAGGAAATTCCAAGAATCCCTGGAGCAGTTAAGGACACAATTAAGAAACTTCTTGCACATAAAAATAGCGTGAAAAAACATGAAGCAATCAAGAATGTGATCCCAGAACCAGCCATGACACCAGCTTCTAAGACCCACTTGCAGTCATTCGACTATAAGGGTGGTGTTTATCTTGGTGAGAGCTATGCTGAGGAAGAGACTGAAGTTACTAGAGAAGAGGAGACAGAAGAGGCAGAAGAGGAGAAAGAAGATTTTGAGAATCAGATTGACCATGAGCAAAGCCTTAGAGGAGATGTCTTTTGTAAGTTTCTTCATCACTTTTTATATGGGTTTTGTTGTAAAAATATATTTTCTTCACAGAAACCCCACGGAAACAGGGCATTGTGCTGTTTTATTATGAGTAAGACAGGAATTGGCTTTGATTCACGACAGGCGTATTCATCATCCTAAATAGTGCAAACTGTTCAGAGGAAAAACACAGACTTGTGTTTCTAGTAATATAGATCATTTAATAGGCACCGCTGCTTCTATTCCTGTCATTCCTATCAGAAAAAATAATTAGTCATGAATCGAAAAGAGAGTTTTTTATCTTGTTTGTTTAAATGAGAGAGCTTATCTGAAGGACATTCTCAGATTTAAAGCATATGATGGTAATTGAGCAGGTAGCTTGCTTAATTTGTGACACTAGTCATTTGTTGGGAAGATTGACATAGGGTTGCCTCAGTCTGCTTTCAGGTGTTTTGTTTCAGTTATTATCTTTTAAGATATATAATTTCTTGCCTTGTTGTTTAAAGTTTCCAAATGCATTTTAATTATATTTTAATACATCTGGCTCAGTCAAACATTCTTCAAGGTGGCTAAAGCATAGATAATGTGAAAAGTATACCCTGCAAATAGTTTTTTCATTATACTTTCTCTTTTCTAAAGTATAGGAAAATAATAAAGACTATCCCATGGTGATTAAAATTATGCATCATGTTTCATAATAATGTTAATGAACATAAATGAATTTTAAATTAGCATTCGAATTGTTGCTCTTTGATTCAAAAAAACACAGGCACGTAATACTTTTAAAGGAAAGGTCATTTTAAAGGCTGCCAGAACAAAAGGACTGTTGTATTGCTACTGTAAGAAGGCCAAGAACAAATGTAGTTATTCAGCTAAATACTTTTGAAAATACAAGCTTCCTTGCCTATGGCACTCTTCTCCTAAAATTGCTTTCTTTTGATGTTCCATGGTATTTGGCCATTTGGTATTTGGTATTCGTTGCAGTTCAGACTGCGGATATAACCTAATATTGCTGCACAGAATTATGCTAGAGAGCTGATACTTAGCCTGAAGTCAGGAGTTTGTTCACAGGGCTCCTCCCATCCTGCAGATATTAACAGCAGTAACTGTCTATAGCATGCTTCAGTTTTGCTGGCAGTATCAAACTGGGGAGAGTGATCTATATGCTAGAGGGCAGGGCTGCTATTAAGAAGGATCTGGACAGGCTGTAGAAATTGGCTGAGAGGAACCTCGTGAAGTTCAACAAAAGCAAATGCGAAAGGATAGAAAAACCTCATGCAACAGTACTGGCTTGGGACAACTGGCCAGAGAGCAGCTTTGCAGAAAAAGGACCCAGTGGTCTTGTTAGATAACAAGCTGAACATGAGCCAGCAGTATGTTCTTGCAGACATGAAGGCCAGTAGCATCCTGGGCTGCATGAGCACGATGGTAGCCAGCAGGTAAAGAGAAGTGATTCTTCCCTTCTGTTTGGCACTTGCAAAAACACATCTGGAGTGCTGTGTCCAGTTTGGGCTCCCCGTTGCAAGAAAGACATTGACATACTGGTGTGAGTCCAGCAGCGGTTCACCAAGGTCAGGGAACTGGAGCATGTGACGTACGAGGAGAGGCTGAGACAACTGGTTTGTTCAGCCGTAAGAGCAGAAGGCTAAGGGGAGATCTTAGAGCTGTTTTCAGCTATCTAATGGGAGATTATAGAGAAGATGCAGCCCGTCTCTTCTCAAAATTCCGCAGCGATAGGATGAGAAGCAAGGGATACAAGTCGGAACAAAGGAAATTCTGATTAGATATAAGGAGAAAAAAATGTTACCATGAAGGTGGTCAAAAATTGTACAGGTGTCCAGTGAGGCTGTGAAATATCCATCCTCAGAGAGATTCAAAATTTGACTGAGCAGGGCCCTGCACAGCCTCGTGACTGGAAGGTCAGACTAGGTGACCTCCGGGTGTCTCTTCCAACCACCATGATTCTATAATTTGTTCTATGCTTTCAACTGGGCATTTCAAAATAGCTTAGAAAATAGTGGTATCCAGTGTGCATAGACCAGCATCCTGAAAGACAATGAGATGCCTCTCTGGTACTGTAACACACAAGCTCACAGTTCAGGAATCTGTGACATTTCCAAAGTACCAGAACAGCTACCACCTAGCCATATGCAAAAATATGTTTCAGCATGTCAGCTTTTAACTAGAACAAACGCTGAAAATACTCAGAACTGACTTACTGCTTCAAGCTCTTCCTTGCACAAGAAGAAAAGCCCAGGGTGGGATTACCAAAGTGAGGGAAAGACAAATAAAGCTGATTATACTCAGAGCCCTCCTCAGACTTTATGACTATCAGAGGTAGGAGGTGATTGGATGCATACAGACCAACACCAAACAGAGAATAGCAAGACACTCAAGAAAAAAGAAAAGCAAACAAACAAACAAAAAACAGCCGGAGGAGCTATGTTCATGGTTCCCTCTGAAAAATTAGGAAGCTCATCTGGCAGGCAGGAGACCCCCGTATTCAAAATCTGTACAGAGAGCAGGGGCTTCAACGCACCTCACCTGCTCCAATGAGTGTCCTAACCTCCAGGCTATATTCTAACCAGCTCTGCTTTTTGTGAAAAGTTTCTAGCTAATGCTGCTGTGCCTCCAAAGTTGAGGTTCCTGTGTGCAGAAAACCACTCTCCCTCTGGCCAGTCACACCATATTCACCTAAGCCATCCTTCTTTGCTCAGCCTTTCACTCCTGTCAAGCTCAGGCAGCCTTCCACCCAGCTTCTGAGGAATCTCTTCATTAATTATTGACCTAAAAAAGGTAGCAAGGGCAGAAGCTGAAGCCAAAGTAGAGCGGAAGTTTCCCCTGCATGGCAAGCTACCTTCAGGGTTCAGCTTTACCATTCTGGCACTGCCAAGTACATTTGGGAGTCTCAGACAAAAGTATTAAGAGGCTTGCCTCCGTTCTGTCACAAGAAGCAGTAAAATCCAGGTTTTCTGATGGCCAGTCTCATGCTTTTACTGTTAGAGAATTCTGTTTCACACACTTTTCTACTAAAATACTATCCTGTAGAAGACTACAACTCAGCCCAGTCATGTTAAATCGTACCAAGCCAACCACAGTTTTGCAGGAAGTATGGAGAAAGTGTACAGAAGCCAGTTGCAATATATATGGTGACTTTTCTTAAGCCCGTGGGTCTCATGTATTCAAGCTTCTTCCTGAAGGCAAATTGATGGGAAGCTTCAGTGTGCAAAGAGAATGGTATGAATTGACTTGCGCTGGTACTACCGGATATATTCAACTAAACGTGCTTACACTGGGAAGGATTCAAAAAGATTGACTAATTAATTGTAAAACACTAGTGGAACCTGAAGGAATATTTACCCTCAGCAAGAGCGTGTTTTCCCATTGTTCTGATTTGTGCAGAGTCAAGACTTTTTCCTTCCAAACAGAATTGCAAGAAGAATATCATTGGTCTATTATTTTTAGGGGCATAGTACTACTAGGTAATGTTAATAGTTATTAGTAGCTAAGTAATTAAATATTAGTAACTAATACTGTTATCACTGTTACTCCATTAAAAGATTTTTTCTTCCCCAAAATTCAGTGCCATAAAGGACTGTGAGTTTTTCTACTTGCTTAACTTTAGGCAAGGCAGCCTGTTGGGAAAAAAAAAAAAAAATCATTCAAGTCAGTTGTCCTAGCCCTTTCTGCCTTTCTGTGATGCATGTCTTGATGGACTGAGGAAACTAGCTCAGACATCTAAACAGGCTTCTTCTCTAACCTGGTTGGAAAGTGCCAGAAACAGCACGCTCTCGATGTGGTCACCATTTTTTTGGTTAAAAGGACAGAGGGCTCTGCTCTCTGTGCTTGATGATATATGGGATACAGTCTCCCTTGTATTGGGTTATGTGACCTGATGCAATTGTTGCATACTCTTCCTGTTGAAATACTCTCTGCCACACTATTTGGAATGGATTCATCTCCAACATCTCAGTTAGAGTGAGGGTACACAGGGAGAATGGTTTGTCTGTAGGGATTTTTAGGGAAATCCAGGTCAAAATAATGTACCAAACCATTTCTGTCCTGATGTTGGGGGAGATCCATTTTCAAGGACTTTCTGAGCAAAACCACAACGTTTGAATACCACATGCCTAGGTAGGCAGAGACTATATATGATTACAGATCTATACAAAATTGCCTGCACACCTGAGAGCAGTGAATGTAACTATTATTTTTTTGAAAATGTTAAGACACTGTGTTTTATCTGTATTTTTGTCTATACTTTCTTTGTTCCAGTCACAGTTGGCTGGAATTTTCTATAAAAAAAATGTATGGGATCTATTTACAGAATATTTCAGAGAGATTTTATTTTGCTAGGGATACTGGCAGAAGATTAGTGTGCTTCTAACCCTATACAGGGTTGCTACTATGTAACAAAGCCCAAGACGGAATTTTATTGAGTATGTAAGCTTTGTATTATTTATGGCTTTCTGGTTAGATCCCTACTATGTGTAAGACTTCAGGCATTGTGCCATTTTTATTTCAGTTTATATTTACTTATATTAACTCTATTTCCTTTTAAATTTCCATATGACATACTTCATCCTTGTTATTGTAACAAAATCCAGTCTTTAATTCAAGCACTTTAATTTGCTTGAACTTAGGGCTTTAAAATCACTTTTATTTTTAAGGGTATTGAATGATCCTTTGGAGTACATGATTAGCTTTAATTTACAACTGGTGGAGTTACACAACCTTTTTTTTCTTCCACATAGATATGTGTAGCTTAAGGATTTGTATATGTCAACACAGGAGAAATCTTCTGAAAAGTATGCTCTTACAATGTCCCAAATTAGCCACGTACTACTATGGGTTTCATGGAAGAGACACCACACAACAGCAGCCTTTAAGAAGCGAGTAAGATGCTAAATTTGGATAATGTGCAGACATCTGAGATAGTCACTTATGCTCCTTTTACAGTCAATAGAGAGAAATAGCCACTTCTAGTGATTTGATCTGACCTGTTTCAGATAT